ATTCTCTTTCAGCAAGTGTTCTCCAGTCTGTGTGTGTGTGTTAGTCACTGAGTCCTGTCTGACTCTTCTCCACCCCATGGACTGTAGCCTGCCAGACTCCTCTGACTATGGAATTCTCTAGGCAAGAATACTGGAGTGGGTAGCCATCCCCTTCTCCAGATCTTCCTAATCCAGGGATCAAACCCAGGACTCCTGCACTGCAGGCAGATTCTCTACTATCTGATCCACCAGTCTAAGCACACCCAACTCTATCGCCAGGGCTTCAATCTAAATTCGCCTTTCACTTAGAGAAAGTGGGTGTGCCTGGAGTTGGTTAGATCTAGGCTCAAATCCCAGGGGCTTCCCTGGTGGCTCAGTGGCAAAGAATCTGCCTGTCAATGCAGGAGACATAGGTTCAATCCCTAGATTGGGAAGGTCCCCTGGAGAAGGAACTAGAAACCCACTCCAGTGTTGTCGCCTGGGAATCCTCATAGACAGGGAAGCCTGGTGGGCTACATTCCGTGGGGTCACAAAAGAATCAGACACAACTTAGCACCTAAATAACAACAACAACAAGGCTCCAATGCCAGCCAGGCCACACTATAATGCTGGGACCTCAAATTCCTTTTCTAACCTCTCTAAATGTTTCCTCATCCGTCTATAAAACAGGGATATTGAAACCTGTCACAGTAGATTCAATGAAGAGGTCATGAACGTGCCAGGTAGTAGGCATTCTAGAGCCCCACATAGTTCAGTGGGCTCCTTGCCTCCACTGCCATCACCTCCTAATCTAACTTCCATAGTTCTTCTTTTGATGCAAATTGAATAATAAATTCTTCAGCGTCTTCCTACCACATAGAACAGTATTTCTGTATGATCCAGGGCCCCCAGTAGTATGTAAAGGAGATTGTTCTAACTTGAGGCACTAAAGGCTTACTGACCCCGCTGTACTAGCAGGAAACAATAGAAAAGTGAAATTTTTAAAAATTCCACTTTTAAAGACTTCTCTGGTGGCGCAGTGGGTAAGAATCTGCCTGCCAATGCAGGGGACACAGCTTGGATCCCTGGTCCAGGAAGATCGCACATGGGCGACTAAGCTGGTGAGCCACAAGTACTGGGCTGGTGCTCGAGAGGCTACAAGCTGCAACTACTGAAGCCTGAGAGCCTAGAGCCTGTGCTCCGCAACAAGTGAAGCCACAGCAATAAGAAGCCTGCACACTGCAACCAAGAGTGGCCCTCACTCACCAAAACTAGAGAAAGCCTGTGCAAAGCAACAAAGACCCAGCACAACCAAAAATAAGTAAATAAATGATTGTTTAAAAATTCCATTCATAAGAGTGTCAAGAAACGTAAACACTGAGGACTAAATTTAACCAAAAGGGTATATAGCACTCTATAATCAACTATTCCACAATGCTAAAAGAAATTTTAAATGTCATAAGTAAATATACCATGCTCATGGACTGGAAGACCAAGATTAATATCAGTTCTCCCTACACTGATCTATACAGATTCAATAGAATCCCAACTGAGTTTTCTGAGGAAACTGTAAAGGGTGATTCTACATTTTATATGGAAATATAAAGGACCCAGAATAGCAAATCTTGAAGAGGGAAGTGGGAAGACTCACAGGATCTTATTTGATCATGTCAGGATAGATAAAAAGATCAATGGAAGAGACTAGCAAGTCCAGAAATAGATCCACACATGGTGGTCAACCAATTTTTCACAAAGATGCCAAGTGTTTCCATGGGAAACATTCAAAAAATGGTGCTGAAACAATTGAATAGCATTCATTCAATACTACATGAAAAAATAAATGAACTTCTATCTCATTAGGTATGTCAAATTAATTTGAGGTAGGGCACAGAGAGATAGTGAAAGACAGAAAAGCCTGGCATGCTGCAGTCCATGGGCTTGCAGAATTGGACAAGCCTGAGCAACTGAACAACAACAAAGGCATAGACTAAACAAAAAAGTCATTAAAAAAAAATAAAGAAAACAACTATAAAACTTCTAAAAGAAACCATTAGAGAACTTTATGATCTTGAGGTAGGCAAAGATTCCTCACAGAAGACAAAAAGCACAAATCATAAAAAAAACGATAGATTGGATTTCATAGGACCCAGAATAGCAAATCTTGAAGAGGGAAGTGGGAAGACTCACAGGATCTTATTTGATCATGTCAGGATAGATAAAAAGATCAATGGAAGAGACTAGCAAGTCCAGAAATAGATCCACACATGGTAGTCAACCAATTTTTCACAAAGGTGCCAAGTGTTTCCATGGGAAACATTCAAAAAATGGTGCTGAAACAATTGAATAGCATTTATTCAATACTACATGAAAAAATAAATGAACTTCTATCTCATAAGGTATGTCAAATTAATTTGAGGTAGGGCACAGAGAGATAGTGAAAGACAGAAAAGCCTGGCATGCTGCAGTCCATGGGCTTGCAGAATTGGACAAGCCTGAGCAACTGAACAACAACAAAGGCGTAGACTAAACAAAAAAGTCATTAAAAAAAAATAAAGAAAACAACTATAAAACTTCTAAAAGAAACCATTAGAGAACTTTATGATCTTGAGGTAGGCAAAGATTCCTCACAGAAGACAAAATGCACAAATCATAAAAAAACAATAGATTGGATTTCATAAAATGAAAAGTTTCTACTCTTCAAAAGACAGTCAAGAAAACCAAAGCCACAGACTGGGGGAGAAAATACACAATATATATATCTGCCAAAGGACCTGTGCAGAGAATACATAAGGAATTCTTCCAACTCAGTAACAAAAGACAACACAATTTTGAAGAGAGAAAAAATCCCCCAAAGTTACACTGTATGATTCCATGTATGTAACATTTTGAAGTGACAGCATTTGAGAACTAGAGATCAGGTTCATGGTTGCCAGGAGTATACAGAGGGAAATAAGAGGAAGGTGGGTATAGTTACAACAGGTCAACAAGGATTCTCCAGTAAAGGAACTGCTCAATATCTTGACTGTTGTAATAAATACACAAAAGGTGGCTCAGTTGGTAAAGAATCTGCCTGCAATGCAGGAGATCTAGGTTCAATCCCTGGACTGGGAAGGTCCCTGGAGAAGGGAATGGCAACCCACTCCAGTATTCTTGCCTGGAGAATCCCACAGACAGAGGAACTTGGCAGGTTATAATCCATGAGGTCACAAAGTGTCACAAACGACGGAGCAACGAAGTACGCATGCATGCACACATAATAAAGTTGCATAGAACTAAATGTATAATGTATACATGCCATTAGGTAATGTGTAAGTCTGCAGAGGATCTCCTGTACTATTTCTTAAGCTGCCTGTGAATCTGTAATTATGTCAATAAAAATTTCAATTAAAAAAATGGGCAAAATTTTAAACAGATACTTCATCAAAGAAGATATACAGAAACAGCAAAAAACTACATGAAACAAAATCGCTTTCATAAATGGTATTCAAAATGGTATTCTGGGCAATAATAAAGAATGAATTACTGACAGATACAACTACATGGATGAATCTCTACAGACACTGTTACATAAAAGAAGCCAGATACAAAAGAATACATGCAGTATGAATCAAAACAGTGATTAACTATGATAGGTGGAGGGATTATCTAGATGGGACCCAATGGCACTTAATGAGGTAAAGGAAATAAATATTCTATATTTTGACTGGAATCTTGGTTTTAGGATAGGTATATACCTTTCTTAAAACTCAACCAGAAAACAAACAAAAGTCAACTAGTTGAACACTTAAGAACTGTGCATCTTATTGCATGCATACATAACTCAGTAAAGAAATACAGTAGTACAGGCAGTTTTCAGTTATATAAAATTGTGACGATGGTACTTGAGTGCCTATATTTGGGGGGAGGAATCAATCTAGAATATATAAATTTCAAACTGTCATATAAAGACCATTACATATAAATGTCATATAAAGACTACTACATCTGGCCCCTGCCTTTCTGGCCAGTATTATCTTCTGAATCTCTGCTTAAGTATATGCTAAATGACCACTGAACAGAGTTTCCCTGGTGGCTCAGTGGTAAAGAATCAGCTTGTCAATGCAAGGGACGTGGGTTTGATCCCTGGGTTGAGAAGATCTGCTGGAGAAGGAAATGGCAACCCACTCCAGTATTCTTGCCTGGGAAATTCCATTGACACAGGAGCCTGGTGGGCAACAGTCCATGGGATCGCAAAAGAGTTGGACATGACTTAGTGGCTAAACAACAAACAAAAAACCATTGAACCAAATGTTTGCAATTACTTCACGCCTCCATATACTAATGCAGGATACTGGTGTTATATACGACCTCTTTTTTGCCCCTAGGGAATTTCTACTTGCTTTTCAATACTCATGACAAATATCATCTGCCACCTATATAGACTTCCCTGCCCTTCTTCTGAGTGCCCATAGAAAAGGCAACTGGCACTTATTGAGTGCTTAACATACATTAGACATTTTTACACATGACCTCGTGGCTCATATGGTAAAGATTCTGCTTGGAATGTGGGAGACCCGGGTTCAACCCCTGGAGACTGAAGATCCCCTGGAGAAAGGAATGGCAACCCACTCCAGTATTCCTGCCTGGAGAATCCCATGGACAGAGGAGCATGGTGGGCTACAGTCCATGGGGTCACAAAGAGTTGGGCATGACTGAGCAACTAACTTTCACTTTCATTCTACTACCAGAATGAGAAAGTTGACAAGCAAGTGCAAATTAATGACTGCTGGTGAGCTGATGTTATTGGCTACTTGAAAGCTGGAGAGTGAGGGAGGTGAAGCAGTTTATCCAGAAATTAACCAGAGGTCAGATTTCTCACATCAACAAGTAGCTCAGAAGTTGGGAAGTGACAGTCCAGAAGATATTCAATGCATACAGAAACACCATTTGTTTCTTACTGACTTTTAAAGACTAGTCAATCCTAGGAAAACACCTCACCATAACCCTTCCAGGCAAAGGAAAACAAAAACAAATACACTTAGCTGTTCCTTTTGGACACTTACCTGTATTCTTTCTTGCTCTGTGATAGAGATAGACCCTGAAGCTCTACCACAAAGTCCTCATGCAATAAACAGTGAGAAACAGGAATGCTAGAAGGAAAAAAAAAAAAAAGGAAATTTGTGTTTTAGGAGGTAAAGAATAGAGGCCAATATCCTAAAATGAAATCTAAAATATGTGTTTTAAACATAAGGGCCCATGTATAATCTCTACTGGGTTTGTGAATCCCACACACTTTCTTGTCCATGTGCACTCCTCTGGGGAAAGGGCCTATCTTTTCATCTTTTCTCATGCCCCCAAATAAAGCATGACAATAAACATACCCATCTTTTTCCTGAGGACTCAAGTTTAAAATGATATTGTGCTATGTACCACTATCCTGTGATTCCTCCAAGCTGTGACTTTTTCCCAGGTTCTCTTATCATCCTTTTCCCTCTAATAACCTGTTAGCTGTCACTATCAACCTGAGGACTCTGGCAACACACTTTACAAATTCATGCTTGATTGGCCTAAGTTTAACTCCTCCCTTCCAACTTCTTAGTAAGAAAGAATTAATGTATAATATTTAAGAGTGAAAATCTAAAGTACTCTCATATGACCTGTGGCATTTTCCTTCTTTTTGCTTATAATCTGGTTACCAGACATATTACAAATGGGTCAAATTATCAAATAACCATCTTTTGAGTCAAATATTATTATACTAGTTTGTATAGCAACATGTTCTATATGGTACTTTACATAAGGGCATTTTCCTTTTCATTTAAAACCAAATCTTATGCTGCCATTAATATTTAATTTCTACAAATCCGAATATGCTTTCATGTCTCGTGAAACTTGAGCTAAGTAATGAACCTAAGAAGCTCCATATACATATTAGAAATTAAACAGTAAACCCTGACATAATGATGTTTATAGCTTGAGAAATTTGTTTGGTCCCTTCTATCTCAAGATTTAACACTAATTTAAGTAAAGTCATTTTGTATTTAATTTAAATGGATCCCAGTAATTTCTTTCAAATGAAAACACAACTTATTAGAAGGCTAAGAAAATACTTCCTCTAAAAAATTTATTTTCTAAATCTGAAAAAAGGTAAAAAATCTTCCACTTAAGTTTTAAAGTGTAACAAAAACACAAATCATCTAAATCATGTGGGAAAAACATGAGAAGCTAATATATGTTTTGAAAAAAAAATACTTTCTTTTCTGTTGATATCCATAGTGTCTTACACATGTAGAAAATGCCTTTTCTAAACCAAGTTCAGTAGAAAGCAGGGAAAAATGCGTAATTTTGTGATAGTCTAAAATTTCACATAGAAACTGTGGACACCAGATACTATGAAATATTAACAATACTTATGAGAACAGTATTTTCTCACTTCAAAGAAGATGCTTATTATTTCTCGGTCTCAGCTTTTAATTTTGTAAAAACTAGAGTGCTGAATCAGATTACTTATGTCTTTTCAGGTTTAATCCCTGATTTGTTTTTGTCGAGTATCAAACTCACCACTTATTTGCAGAGAATCCTGTTTTTAAGGGTCGCTTTAATCTGACTACCAGGGTGTTTTAACCTCAAACATTTGGAAACCAATTCGGCCTAAGACTAGTGTAAAGCTGGAGCCAATTATTTTCTGCTATGTCTGCACGTTCTCAATTATAAACGGGGTGGGAGTAATGTCCCAACAGGAAAAGGGACGGCAAGGCCAGGCCAGTGAACCCAGAACTAAAAGGCCCAGAAGGATCCAGATGTAGACAATCCTCCAGATTATAAACGAGAGCCTTGGCGGCCCAGAGAGGGAAAGTGAACAGCCATGGGTCACATAGCAAGCAATAGCGGAGCGTGTCCCTAACGTGCCGGGGATTACCAACTCCTTAAAGGGCCCTGGCTCTGAAGACCAGGAGTCCCAGCTCTCCTGGCCCTTCTGGGCAGCGGGGAGCTGGCGACTCCTCCTGAGTGGCCACGCGCAGCGCCAGGGAACTGTGCCTAGCTCGGAGACCTACTCGGCGGTCCGCGCAAAGCTGCAAGTGTCCGCCCGGCACACGTAGAAGCTCTTTCCTTTATTCGGGCCCTCTCGGACGCCGGTCTTCAGAAGACATAAAGTCCCTAAGGAGAGAAGGTCGACAACGATTACACCAAGCTAGGCTGGCAGACCCCTTGGACCCTTAGGCCCTGACCTCCTACCATGCTCCGGACACCTAACTACTTCCATCTCGCCCCAGCTTTCCTCTTCTCAGAAGCCACCGCCTCTCCCAACGCCGGCTTCCGCCTTTTTCTCCGCCCTCCTCATTCAGGAAACGATCGTCACCCACCTCCTCCACTCTTAATCCCCCATAATTCACCGCCGCGGCTTTAGCCACACCCACCCTAACTACTATCAGCCAATCAGACGGGAAATGTGCTCACCTCCAACCAATCACGGCCGCCCTGAGATTCGCGGCGCGCAGAAATAAAAAATGGAGCGGGAGGGCGGGGGGGAAACGGGTCTTTGGCCCGTGGGGCGTGGCTGAAGCTAGAGTGAGTTTTGGAGGTTGGCGGGGCTTTCCGGAGGAGGGAAGCTTTGCGAGGAAGGAACTGGTCGACTCTACCTTGCACGCATTTAAGACCTAGAGGCATCCCTAGAGGAAGCAGGCATTACAGACTGCAGAGAGGAGCTCTACAAAAAAAGACTCTCTTCTCCCCGAGGCCGAGAGCGCCTAGAGCTTCGCGGTCTTCTGGACGCCAGCCGGGGCCTAGCGCTGGTGGGCGCTCCGCCTCCGCGCTCGATCTCTAGGGAGGGGAATCCCAGAGGAGCCGCCGCCTCTGGAAGAGGCACTGGATTTGCATGTGGAGGCGAAGCGGGGTGCGAGTGAGGGCCGTTGGGGCGTCCTTTATAGCTAAGCGGTGAACTGACCAGTCTGTTGTAGAGCGGGCCTAAAGACTTCTCTGGAACCCCACAACACAGTCCTTATCCATACCCGTCTGTCTTGACAACCTGGTGGGGATGCGCAACATTTTAAGGACCCCGAGATTCAAAAGTTTGAGTGAGTCCCCCCAGGTCAGAGAATTAGTGAGTGGGCAGTTGGCCGACGGTGCTCAGAAAACTGCCTTCTGTGTGCTATACGTTCTCTAGGCACTCAGTGTGGGAGACCTGAGTTAGAAATGTCAAAGTGGAAACAACAGGAGGAATAGATCGCCTTTGGTGAAAGGGAGTTTTATACTGCATATTTTGTATTGTCAGACTTTTTCTATCAGTATGCGTTTGTAATATTAAAAATCGAGGATGTAATTAAAAGAAGGGACTATTTGAAATCATAATCAGATCTCTTAGTCAACAAAAAGGGAGGAATAGGAATCAGACATGGCAAGAGAGACGGCTTAATCTTACAACTATTGAGGACCATATGTACAGACATATGGTGTGGCGTGTGTAACTGTATTTACAGAGACAGTAGGACAGGAAAATCTGCAAGTTCTAGGAAATCTGAGCTATGTGGTGAATGTAAATGTCATAGGGAGCAAGAGGAGGGGAGACAAACCTGAGAACAAACAATTCTTGTTTATTAAGAATTAAACAAGTTCTTAATAAATAGCTTTTTGTATACCCAATGTGAACTAGGTGCTTAGGAAATATACAATCCATTCATTCACATATAAAGTTTAAGACGATTATTCTAACCACAAAGAACTTGCTCAGTATTTGGAGGAGACTGATCTAGCACATACTGAACACTTAAATAACAATGTAATAGCATTTGAATGCCATGATAAGTGGAGATCCCAGTAAACTCTTAGGACTAAAGATGTGTCTGGAAGCAAAGTAGAGTAAGTTCATACATAATTATCCCTTCTGAAACAGCTATAGATAAATGTAGAAATAGGAAAGGAGTAAAAAAACAAACAGTGACAGTTTCATTATACCCAGATTGTAATTCTCGCATTAAGAGAGTTCTATTCATGTATTCAATAAATGCTATATTAGGAGAATTAGAGCTTGAATACTGGATTTGCAGGACAAGGGGCATGATAATTTAATTATTTCTTTAAAAATGCCTTTTTGAAACAAGGCAAAATCAGGGCCTCTTAAGTGTCCCATTAAGGAGGGACCTCTTCCTCTGTCAAGTATTCAAGCTAGTGTCTCAGGTCAAACCCCATGAAAGGGTGCACAGCCAAATCACAGAATGGGGGATTATTTCTCCCATAAATTTGGTCACAGTCCATGGGGGTGCAAAGAGTCGGATACCACTGACTAACACACACAGAGAATTATACAATATACACTTTTCAAAATATATACATTAGTATGTGTATATTGTTTATATCCTTAATTTGCCTATAAACTCTTGGAGAGCCCTTTGGACACAATGTGCTTTATGGACCCTTATTTTTAATAAAGTGGAGACTTTGAGTTTGTTTTGCTTTAAAACTTGATGTATTCAAAATGAATGCCTAGGCTAGATCCTAAAGCTCAGTGGTTTAAATCCACAGGTTAATGAGCCAATAAATTCTTTGTGCATGGAGGTGGTCAGACATAAAAGTATGTGACGGAATTGTTCTAAAACTCAGTTGTGGTAATAGCTGCACAATTGTATACATTTCCTAAGACTCAGGGAATGATACACTTTAAATAAGTGAATTCTATGATGTCTGTTCTTCAGTAAAGTTGTTAAAAACAGTGTATAGGCAATACCAAAATACCAAAACACCTGCAAGGAAAATAAAATCTCGGCTCAATCACCTAAATGTTTCAGCATCCTAAGGACTCTTTAGTTTTAGATGGTATTAATCCTTAAGCAGACTGGTTCTCTGACCTGTGGAATAAAATCCAGAGTGGTACAAACACACATTTCAATTCTTGGGAAATAAAGCAGTTGTATATTATTGGTCAGCATTGTACTGAGTGGCATATATTAACCATGAAAGGTGAAGTTGCTCAGTCATGTCCGACTTTTTGCAACCCCATGGACTGTAGCCTACCAGGTTCCACTGTCCATGGGATTTTCCAGGCAAGAATACTGGAGTGGGTTGCCATTCCCTCCTCCAGGAGATCTTCCCGACCCAGGGATTGAACCCCGGGTCTCCCGCACTGCAGGCAGACCCTAGTCCCATTAAACATGAAAGGCATCTATAAGATACTGGCGGTGAGGGTATCAGCTGGAAGTCACCCCTTGACTTTCTTGTCACTCTCTGGTTTTTCAGTCACTAAGTCATGTATGACTCTTTGTGACCCCAAGAACTACAGCACGCCAGACTTCCCTGTCCTTCATTATCTCCTGGAGTTTGCTCTAACTCATGTCCATTGAGTGAGTGATGGAAATAATCAGAAATTCTAAGTTTTAAGTTATTTGTAAAATTCATGTTCTATGCAACTGATGCCTCCCGAAATCCTGGCTTTCTCTGCCCACCAAAGCCAAATAAAAAGTATGGAGAGAGACTTTGGAGGAAATAGAAAGATCCTTTAATCCTCAGCATGTGGAGGGGAGGCAGAGCAGACTCAAGCGCCCCCTCCATGAGGAATCTGGGGGATTATATGGATGAAGGCTCGCAATCAGAGGTTGGTGATGAACAAAGCTGTTCAAAGCTGTAAGGATCTTTTATTCTTCCTCTTGCATTGTTTCAAAAAAATGGTCACAGGCTGGCATCAGGTAGCCCGGTAATTGGGTCCATTGTCTTCTGTGTATTGTGCTGTGGCCTTCTTTCTATTGATATAATGCAAAAAGAGAAAAACTACGAGGAATGGTCTCCAAGAGAGTGCTGTGAAGGTGAGCACAGATATAGGATGTAATTAGCATAGAGTTAAAAGAAGTAGGTGCAGAATGTAGCTCATGCAGCGCTAGAGGGCAGAAAAGCAAATTGAAGTTATAGACAATAATTAGAAATGGTTAAGGTAAAAACTAGGAATGACCAGGCCTGCTCACTGTTCTCTCCATCTTCTTTATTCTCAGGAAAGAATAGAACAACTCATTCCTCTTTTATTCCTTTTCATTGTTTTAAACATTAAGTTGTCCAAATATGCCACTCCAATTAGAGGATAATCTAAATTTATTTCAAATTATATCCCTCTGGGTTTTTGCTCATTGCTTTGGGGTGGGGTGGGAAGGGTAACTAATTTTAAAGAGTAGGTAAAGGATTTTTTGTCCCTATGAGGCATATTTACTATAGTAAAGCAACACTGTAGCCTACTCCTGCAGTGTATTTTGAGGTAAGTGCTTTAAAAAAAAAAAAATTATTTACTTATTTTTGGTTGTGCTAGGTCTTTGTTGCTTCATGTGGGCTTTCTGTAGTTGCAGCAAGGAGGGATTGCTCTCGAATTGCAGTGCACAGGCTTCCCATTGCAGTGGCTTCTCATGTTATGGAGCACAGGCTCAGTAGCTGCGGTTCCTGAGCTCTGAAGCATAGATAGGCTCAGTAGCTGGGACACGTGGGTTTAGTTGCTCCGTGCGTGAGGGACCCTCGGAGAGCAAGGGTAGCACCTGTGCCCCCTGCATTGCGAGATGAATTCTCAACCACTGAACCACCAGGAAAGCCCTGAGATAAGTGCTTTTACAGACAGCACTTGTAAGTGGTTTTAATTCACACAGCTACCCTGGGGGCAGGTATTCCTTTATCCCCATTTTACAGAATGGAACACCAAAGCTTAGAGAGCCACTTGCTTACAGAGTCCCACTACTTGAACTTTGGAACCAAAAGATTAATCTTTTCCTGGCTCAGAGTCACAAAGCTGACATCAGACAGATCAGGAACTGGAAGTCACTTTGGAGGGACTCCTATCCCAATTCTTGCCACCACAGTATTTTTAGGAAGCATAAATTATTCAGTGATTCATTCAGACATTTAACCTATACATAGCCAAGTATTCAAATATTTGTGTTATACAGATGCAGCTCAACAAACCCAAGGAAACAAAACAAATCAAGTCCTGCTGTTTTATAAATGATCACTAGGTAGCAGCATATTAACATAAAAACCAAACACAAGGCCCACTTCTGTTTTCACGCTCTTTAGTGATAAGCGGTGGTAATTCAGTTTCATTTTATTTCGTGCCTTTCAACTATATGACCGTTTTAAACTTTACCATTGATAAAGGCATAGTCAAGATGAGAATATAGTAAGGACAAATTTGGTTATTAAGAAAAGGGAAGAGATTTTATAAGTTCTTTTGTGCCAATATTTTCTATTAGGTTCCAAATGTCACTGGTGTTAAATTATTATCCCCAAAATGGTTCAAACCTGGCACCCCTTCATCTATTTTTGTTTTTCATTAAGTATACTATTCAGTACTTTTAAAAGTAAATTTATAAAGTTGTGCAACAATCATCACAATCTAGTTTTAG